GGGCCCACGGGCCGCGGTGGCAGAGTAGCTCCACGTCGCACCCCGCATCTCCTGAAGCGTGATCGGCGGAAGGGGCCCCACCGGTCAAAATCCACCCGCCTCGGCGGCCAAGCCGCGCCGCGGTAAGACCAGACGCCCTCCCGCCCCGGAAGCGCAGCGTCGGCTACCACAGGAGCCAACAGGGGCTGCATGGGAGCCACTTCGGAGGCGCGGCGAGGCCCGCGCGCCCTGCGGAGGAAGGCACCCCGCAGCCAGCCGCGCCACGCAGCCTCCGAGCACCATGCCGATTGCGGTCCGCCACCCGCCCTACCGAGACGACTCAGGAGTCCAAGTGGTGCAAAGCTAGTAACGAGACGCATATCTGCAGGTACTTGGCCACCGTCGCGTCGGTGGCTGCCAGTACCCCCCCTCTGCCGCGCGTCCTTCACCAGGTAGCGGCGCGCCTCTTCGTTCTCGCGGATGGCCCCGAAGCACTGGCAGGTCACCAAGTCGCACATGGCAGCCGCTAGCTGTAAGCCGCCAAGCTGCTCCTGGAACCGCCGCCGAACCACCTGAAGGTGCAGCGTCCACCGCTTGACCGCGATCCAAGGACGAACCGAGACGTCGCGCTCATGCCGACGCCGCCGTGGTTGCCAGCGCAGATGCTGCCAGCGAGCCTGAGCTGCACCAGCTCGGCCAGAGTGGCCATTGGATTGGGCCCCAACCTTGCCCCACCGCGCGCAGAGCTCAGCATCGACGCCATGGAGAACGGCGTCCCACCGCTGAACGACACCGTCGGGCTCCGTGGCGACGTGGGCCCCGGCCGCCAGCGGCCGCCAATCAGACGGCGGCCTGGCGCAGCCAGGGCGAGGGCACGCGGAGGAGGGCTCGGGCTCGTCAGCGGCCCTGCACCAGGCAGGGCAATCGCGCCCGCGCATCCGCCGGCACACAGGGCCACGAGGGCAAAAGAGTCCAACGGCACTGTCGCCTGGGCATCCAGCCTGGAAGCCGGGTGCGGGGAGGCAGCTACGCAATCATTGGTCGGGCCTTCTCCGCGAACACCAGCGAGGTCGCCAGGCATGAATGGCACGGCAATCACCGCCGAGCGCCTCGCGGAGCCACTCCACGTTCGAGGCCACGTTCCAATCGCTCATGAGAACGAAGTCCTCGCTGAGGGCGTTGAACTTGAAGCAATACTCGAACACCGTCCTCAGAAAGTCCTGGTCGGGCCCCGCATAGTCCACAGAGTCGACATAATAAATGCTGATGTTTACCGCACCCTGAGGGATGGCAGAATGAACGCGAGCAGCTGCAGAGCAGCCACGGAGAGGAGTCCCATCTAACAAGCCAGGGGCCGAGGTCAGAGCCACAAACGACAGAACCAGCACCGCCGCACCGCTGCTGGTGCTCTGGGCATCAGTCTGCAGAGCTGTAGCCCACGCCCCATGCCCAACGAGGTCCGCCGATCGATTCTACATCTTGCCTAGCCTGGCCTGGGGAATGCCGTGCTCCTGGACTGTCAGCACCCACCTCGGAAGCCACCTCCGCCACGACGTCGAGCATCGGGCCGAAGGACGAGATGCTGGCAGAGACTATCGCGCCAACGAAATTAGCGTTCTGGGTCTGCCCTCGCATGGGCTCCCCAGCGGCCGCGCACCGCTAGGAGATGCGGCCCGCCCCGTCTCCAGCGGCGTATCACCAGTGACCCGCCTGAAGCGCTGGCTGCACGGACAAAATCGTCCACGCAGGGGGGAGCCCGCGGCGGGCTCGGCGGCGGCCACGGCTGGCCCCTGGCGCGTGCTGGCTCGTGCTGGAGCCCCATGGAGCAGGTGCCCGAACAAAGAAAATGGTGCCGTAGCCGACGCACAAGCCGAGGACGCCTTCGGGGCCGCAGGGGGCCGCAAGCCAGCAGCCTCGACCAAGAAGGTAGGCACCGAAGCAGACGGCGCGAGATGATGAGCCAGCATGCCATCTGAGCAAGCCCCAGCAGATGAGCTGAGGGCAGCGCTGGTTGTTGAGAGGAAATCAAATGGCGGGTCTCACCTACGCCTGGCTCCCTGATGTGGGGACCTTCTCCCGGCGAGTCAAACAGACCGACAGGAACACCATGATCATACACCTCACGAGCAGGATGTGCCTCTGCATGTGCCATCAACTCAGCCACGTCATCGACGTTTTCGAAGAGGTCGACCTCGCTGTCCACCGTGCAGACAAAATACCATAAAGCTGGTACCGCCGACGGTTGCGCATCGGCGCCCGCCCAGATCTCGAGCCGTTTGGCCTGGCTCTGGGTCGCCGCATTGATGACGCGAGCCCGGTCAAGAGTAACGTTCTCGGCCTCCTCGGCAAGCACCTGAAAACCCATTGACTCCACGAACGAGCGAACGTCCTCAGCCTTCGGGTCAGCGCCCAGGAGGTCGAAGCTGCTCGGCGTACCAGGAGCCGCCGAGGCAGGAGGTGCAGCAACTGGCGTTCAAAGCACCAGCGCCAGGAGGCTCGCCAGGAGGAGCTCCAGGGGCGCCGCCCGCTGGGCCCAAGGGCGTGCCAGGCGCCGCGCGCTGATGCTCAACCTGGGCCGCGCGGAGCACAGCGACGTGGCTGGCCAGGGCCGACTGGAAGGTGGCCTCGATCGTCTCGGAGCCTCCCAGCCCTCGCAGGGGCAAGGAGAAATGCTGCATGGTGACCTCGAGCCTCGGCACCACGGCGTCCAGCGTGACAGCTTCTGGAGCCAAGGGAGCCCGGGACGCCAATGCCGGGGTGTCCGCCTCCAGCTGCACCATGAACGCCAGAAGCCTTGGCCGCGGCGCGCGTCGCCACGCCCAGGCCAGCCGTGATGGCAGCGAGCTTTTTCCTTGAGGCACGCCACCTCCAGGTCGCGGGCGGTTATCCAGTGGCGCTGCAGGGACATCTTGGCCACTGGAGACGGTCCCAGCTTGGCTTGGCGGCGCGCTCAGGAGGAGGGGGTTGGGCGCCACCGACCTCGAGGTCCATGACGTCGGCATCGGTCCCTCCTCCTCCTCCTCCTCCTCCTCCTCCTCCTCCTCCTCCTCCTCCTCTCTCGTCCTGCCTCCTGCTCCTCCTCCTCCTCTCTCCCTCCTCTCCTCCTCCTCCTCTCCTCCTCCTCCTCCTCCGCCTCCTCCTTCCTCCTCCTCCTCCTCCTCTCTCCTCCTCTCCTCCTCCTCCTCCTCCTCCTCCTCCTCCTCCTCCTCCTGCCCCTCCTCCTCCTCCTCGCCTCTCTCTCTCCTCCTCCTCCTCCTCCACCTCCTCTCCTCCTGCCTCCTCTCTCTCCTCCTCCTCCTCTCCTCTCCTCATCATCATCCTCATCCTCCTCCACCTCCTCCTCCTCCTCCTCCTCCTCCTCCTCCTCCTCCTCCTTCCTCATCCTCTTCCTCTTATTATTATTATCTTATTATTCGTCCTCTCCTCCTCCTCCGCCTCCTCCTCCTCCTCCTCCTCCTCCTCCTCCCTCCTCCTCCTCCTCCTCCTCCTCCTCCGCCTCCTCCGCCTCCTCCGCCTCCTCCTCTCCTCCTCCTCCTCCTCCTCCACCTCCTCCTCCTCATCCTCCTCCTTCCTCCTCCTGCCTCCTCCTCCTCCTCCTCTTCCTCCTCCTCCTCCTCCTCCTCCCTCCTCCTCCTCCTCCTCCTCCTCCTCCCCCCCTCTCTCCTCCTCCTCCTCCTCCTCCTCTCCTCTCCTCCTCCTCCTCCTCCTCCTCCTCCCCCGTGCGCGTGCCCCCAGCTCGGCGATGCGCTTGCGCACGTCGTCGCCGGGCCCAGCGCCAGAGCTGCCGTCCCCGCATGCCGCCAGCAGGGCCCCCGCGACGCCTGCAAGGCGCGAGGCTGTCGGACGGCATGGTGTATTTGAAGCCCGCGCCCTCGTGGATGCCACACTTGCCGCAGGCCTTCGCCGTGCCCCAGCTCGGGGCCGCAAACCCCCCACACCAACAACACTCTCGTCCTTGAGCAACCGCTGCGGACTTGAGCCAAAATGGCTACGGAAGAAGAGGAGGAGGAGGAGGAGGAGGAGGAGGGGAAGGGAGAAGGGGGGGAGGGAAGAAGGAAAGAGAGTTCAGTGCTTTATTCAAAACGAGAGCCCAATTCAGGAGTGTGTTGGGAAGAAAATTTAGAGCAACCAATGGGAACGAAATTATTCTGCATCTGGCTCTTCCCCTCATCCGCCGTTTCCTGCCCCTCCTCCTAAGACTCTTGCTGTCCAAGGCCTGCTCAAACTCATTCCTTTCCTCAATATTTCATTCTTTCTCATGAAAGAAAACACGATGATGAAAACTGCCATCATCCCAACTGATGGGAAGGGGAGTCCACCATACTAAAACTGGCAGGTGAGACCGTGCAAGAGGAAGAGTGAGCAGCGGGCTTGCCAAACATGCTGCCACGATCAACGCTGCTTGAAACCAGGCCGAGGGCCAGAAGCGAAAAGCCGCGGACGAAAGAGGGAGAGGGGAGGAGGACAGCGAACCACCATTGCCAAGATACGGCGATCTAGTGTCAGTAGCCCTGGGCTCGGGCTGGGCAGGAAGACAAGGAAGCAACGGCCAACGGCGAACACAGACTGCAAACTCGCGCGTGCGCAAGCCGGTCTGACACGACTGCGCCCGCACAGCAGCCCTCGCGAGCACAATCGAGGGAGGCAAGAGGGGGAAAGAGAAGAGGGAGAACGGGGCGCGAGGCGAGGAGAGGAGGACGGTGCCTGCTGGGCGTAGACACTCGCCAACGAAATGATAGAAATCTAAGAAGGGAGAGAGCGCGCGGGCGCTCCCCCTGCAGCGCGCGCGGCAACCGCGACGGCTGGCAGGAGTGGGGAGCCTGGATCAGATCCAGGGTCGGCCATCAGCGAGCACAAAGGGAGCCACACGCAATGCCCATATACGCGGTGTGCGCCCACGACACCACACTTCGCGGGGACAGGGGGGAAGCAGCGAAGAGGAAATGCAGAGGGAGGGAGGGACACACACTCGCCCAGATGCCCTCACACACACACACATACACTCGCACTCGTCCCTCGCTTCAACATCCTACCTCATCCTCATCCTCATCCTCTGCTCCACTCTCCCCGAAGACCTCTACTGACTGCGTCGGGAACTTCGCGTACTGAGTCACCTTCTTCCAG